CGTGTTTTGTGCTGACAGAGCACCAAATGTTGTAATGCAATGGAATTCCCCTCATTTCTACTCCATCTCTGGACCCAGGTTCCTCTCTCCTCCTTCCCTAAAGTTCACCAGGATGATTTTCGTTGGGTAGATACTGATACCATGACAACTGTGACATCATTTCTCTGCTCAGGATAGGAGAAACACAAACACACACACAAACACACACTGCCTGCCTACCTTGTGGGCATCAAGGCTTCTCTTAGCATTTGCTTCCAGCCATGTCTTTGATTTACCATTTTGGAACAATATATATATATATATATATATATGTGGAGCGCCACTGTGCTGCATGCATGGCCCATAAATAGCACATTAACATAGGTAATTTTACAGGATCGGCATCTCTTCAGAAATAGGGGGAAATGGTGCAAGACTATTTCTTCCACATCCATTAGCTTACCCTTTGGGGAGGAACCCACTCCTTCCTCGGGAAGAGGAGGCAGCTTGTAAAATGCCATTTTCAAGCTCTTATGATGGCATTGCTCTCTTTGTCCCCCCTCCCTCCAACTTCTCAATTACAAGTGAGTCATCCTCTCTGTGGGTCTATTTCTGACTTCCACGGGGATTGACGGGATCTAGATGAGTTCCCTTCCTGAATGTCACCCATCAGTGTAACAGTTTTTTTTTTAAAAAATGGAAAGAAATATGATGCAAGGACCTATTTACTGTATTTGTATCCTAACCTCCCCTGTTCAATCTGGATTGAGGAGCAACATCGGAATGGACAAATGACTCCAGTTTGCAAAATACGTTGGACCGATGGAATGACTGACGCTTGATCCGACAGAAGCCAAGGGCCACCTTCCAGATGCGGATGGACTTTAAACTCCCATCAGCCACAGCCAAGGGTAAAAGAATGCCGAGATGTGTAGTCCGTCATCCTTTGGAGAAAGGTGGGGTAAAAATATTTTAAATCATCAGCATCTGGAGGATGTCACTTTGCCCACCCCTGGTTTTGATGAACATTTTGCTCCAAGACTATGAGATAAAGACGCATTATTCTCTACGAAACGGGAAAGACAAAAGTATCAATGTATTTGCAAAGGCTTTCACAGCCGGGATCTGATGGTTGTTGTGGGTTTTTCGGGCTCTTTGGCCATATTCTGAAGGTTGTTCTTCCTGACATTTCACCAGTCTCTGTGGCCGGCATCTTCAGAGGATGGGAGTAGGAACTATGTCCAAAAGTATCGTTTCAATGTTTTCAACTAGTTCCACTGGTAAGGAGCAGAAAAAGCGCAAGATCTTTCATGTTTGCTCCCAGGAATCCGCCATGGCCTACCTCTCCTTCTGCCCCCCCCCAAGTCCACCCAATTAAAGACCGGGAAAGTACCACAGCCCAGCAAGAAACAGATCCTGGTTGCTGAAGGTCCAGCTTTTCAGCGGGACCGGTGGGGACTGTCTCTGGCAGGAGACAACCAAGGCAAAATAAAACACATTTCAGGTACCCTTGTGAGCATGAGTTACCTTCCATTGTGAAAATAACGAGGATCTGAAATGTTTATTTTTGATTGATTAGCCATCAGAAAGGAAACACATCAGTCTTGCGATACACTTCACAATCGCCTTCCCTGCCTGCATTCAAGAGAGTCCTAGTCTTCATTATGAAATGCTTACGAAGGAATCACAAACAGCAGCTTGCCTTTTTTTAAATTTCAAGATCATTTTTCATTCGTCGAAAACCCATCGGGCTTGCGGTAATAAAGAAGGATGCAAATTCACTCCTCAATGGCTTCAGCCAGTAAGCCCCACGCTCTGTTCCCTCCGCTTAGACCTTCTTAAGGGCCTGCTTAACGAGGATTTTAATTTGACCCGCAGGAGACAAAGGGGGAAAAGGCTGTCAGCTTAGTTACCACCAGTTCCCTTCATGCTTGGGAGTGTTATAAGGTTCTTGTGCCAGCTCTGGGTCAGAGTATGGCAAAAGGTATCCCCTAAAGTTTTTGGTCTGTCAGCTTAGTTACCACCAGTTTCTACAGTGACAGTTAACACACATGGAATATCACATTATAATCTGAGAGTGAACTGTCAGTTGACTGGTGTATTAACTGGGGCTTATCTGAAGGACAAGCTTTCCAACCGACCAAAGAGCCTAGTGCACTTTGTTACAAATGTAAAGCTTCAAAGATCCTCTCTTCACAGATGAAAGAAAAGGAAGGACATCAAAGTTTGTTGCAGTGTGTGTGTACAAACAAATTATGTTTACATCTTAGTTTAATTCATAATTACCTCTGAAGGAATTCTCATAATCCAAATTCTACCTGTGACCAAAGCTGAAACTGCAATGATCCCAGTCCATTACAATCCAAAGCTCAGAGATTTCAGTAAAAATATTGCCCCAGAAACAAAGAGCAAACCGCAGAGCATGGCTTCTTCATGTACCCGGCTCCTCCATCCGCTACTTTAGTGTGAGCATGTTGATGGCCTGCTGCGTCTAGCCACAGCGAGGCCCATCAGATGGCCCATTTTCAGCCTGACACACTCAAAACACAGCTGTTTCCTCTTAGACACTCTCACGCGGATCGTGTGATTTGCTAACAAACCAAACCAAAACTCTCTTGCAAAGGAAACCCAGTGGCTCTTCCCGGTTGGGGGACGGAGACTCTTCGCTTCTGCATGGTCTGGCCAGAGACAGAATTAGCTTTAAAGATCTGAATGTTTATGCCAACTATTTTACCTTCTTGGTGTTGGGAATGCTACGGACAAGAATATTAACAGGCAGCTGCCGCTGTGCCAGGTTTTGGCGTTTTGAAATATCCCCCACCTAACATTTGCAAGTATCTGGAGGGGGCAAAACGCTGAAGAAAAGTACAAGGAGCAATTCCTGAGTGGTTCCAGCACGAGTGTGCTCTTTAAAACAGAAACTGGAGAGAAAGGATTCCAGAGGAGGAGGGCTGAAGGGAGAGGAAAAAGCAGGAGGAGGAAAAAGAGAAAGGAAGCAAAACTACAAACGCAAACAGTCCAGGGCAACTGGGAAGTCACAGGTGACAGGAGACCCAAGGCTTCATTTTAGACTAATTCAGTACCCAGAGAAATGATTCTCCGTTCCACCCCTACCTGGATTTTTAAAGAAATATCTACTGGGAAATGAGACTCAGAATGTTAAGAGATAAACCGGCAGGTGGAGATGTCTCCTGGAAAGATAACGGCAGGAGTGTTTTTGTTACCGTATTTTTCAGAAATATAGAAAATATGTGCCAGGGCCCCACAACTTCAGCGTCAATGCAAATATTGAGGAAATAAAACCCTTCTATTTCCTGGCAAAGGTCCGCACCAGGCTTGATCTTGTGTTCGTATTTTTCCCCCCTCTCTTTTAATCAAGTTAGAATCGTTTTTGCTTCCGCCAAGAACTCTAATCACAGGAGCCGTCCTTCCAGCCATCTCGCCAGCGCTCATCGACGCGGGAACAGTCGAACTCTGCTTTGCCAAGCTTCTTATTCACTTCGTTGTGCAGCCGGCAAAACCATTGGGTCAGCTTTCGTCTGCTGCTGGCGTCGGCCGGGTTTCGCCGTATTCTGTGGGGGGGACAGAAACGCCAAAGAGAGCCTGAGGCCATGTGGCTGAGTCTGCCTCTCTGACTCACCTTCTCCCCAAATTCCTGGCCTGGGACGTTAGAATTGCTACAGGTGATGTCTCATTGGTTTACATTCCCACATGCTGGCTTGCATACATACAATACATCCCTGGGATGGGTGAAAATTGTTTGATAGCACCATGACACACAAGAAAGTAGAACTGGAATTTTCTGGGGACATTCCAAGCATTACAGGAGACATTGAGGCGCATGGTTCTTCCCACTGTTTGATGTACAGGTCTGATACCGAAGTGGAGAGCATTAGGTGGCCCAGAAACTACACATACCCACACCCGGAACTTAAGAGGGTAGCATCCATTCCCACCCACCCCAAATTCACTTTTATAAACTGGTCAGTTTTGTTTCTCTCCTAGAAAAGCCCCTTGGATTGACCAAATAACATCTTTAATTAAAAACAATCAAACAAGCAAGTGGCTGTCAGGGAGAAGTGTGTTGAGGTGGCTTCAAATCATGGTAGCCCTGCTCCAGAAATTGCCCCGGAAGACACAAAGGGAGCTTTTGAGCAAAACCATCTTTTAAAAAACAATGTTAAGAATTTCGTTTGAAGGGATGGGGGTGTGGAGGAAGCCTTTACCAGCCTTGACTCTGCACGAGCTAAGTAGGCCTGTTGAGGACAGGAGATTGTGTCATTCAGGTCTGCCAGCGATCAGCCATGGACCCTCGTTTTGCCACAAAGAAGAGGTAAACTGACTGCACATAACAACACACATAATCATGGGCAGCAAAGTGCTCACCTGTCTCTCAGATCTGCTGCACATTCATCACAAGGGAAAACTTTGGAAAATAAGTGGATGAACTGGGTCATCTCCTGCTGCTGAATTTTACTCGGCCGGTCAGGGTAATACGCTGCCATGGTGTGAAGGAAAGACCAGGAACTTCTGCCCAGTTCTTCTCTGTCCAGAGGGCAATCTGGACGGATCTCTGTCTCTTTGACTCCTGTTTCCTGGATTGGGAAAAAAAATTGATCACAAGAAAAAAGCAAGAGAGATTTCCAGGTATGTAATGTCCATCCATTAAAACATGTGGCATTTCTAATATTAACAAATTAGAGTTGTTCATATGAGCTTCCACAGACACTTCTTCAGACGCACACAGCACAGGTTCCAAGTCACGTGTGTATATGTTGCACTGCTTATGGTCATGGAGAGTGGGACAGAAAAAACGGGATCCAGAAAATCACAGTCGTATTAATACTGGTGATAAAATTTCAAACATCGTAGCAACAGTACCATCAGCTAATGCTACTGATCCGTCAAAGACGGTCACAAAGTTCCTCCCTGTTGTTGAAGGCATAGCCACCTGGAATTTTGGGACAAAAATATGCAAAGCCAGTCATGCTGTAGCATCCAGTCTGCATATTTTGGAAGCGGTCAGAGATTGTAGCAATTTTTTTAAGGGGAAATTTAAAAGCCATGCTTATGGGATTGTAGGAACCTCCACAATGACTCCTAGATTCTCAAAGCACAAACCCTTCCCGGAACCAGAATTCTACTCAATTACAAGGCAGAAACACACCTATCTCCAAGCCTTCCAGGGTCTGGGAGAAACAAACCACCACATCAGTAATGCACTGTGTATAGGGCAGGAAAGGATAAAGGCCACTGAGCATAACAGGGCCCTTGTTTCTAAAGGTAAGCAGGAGTTTTACGGCTCGAAAGAGCTTCCAAAGGCTGGCCCTTTAAGACTGTGCAGAAGGCAAACTGTCAGCCAGGTGGGCTGCATTTTATGGGCTGCAATTCCCAGAAGCCTTCACTGCCAGCTGTGCTTAGGGGGGGTTTCTGGGAAGTGCAAACCAAGCACACCTGGGTGACCTCAGGTTGGGAACCACTGCTCTGCACAGATCCTCACCAGCTCCTGGGCCGGTTCTACATTCTGAGTCTTCGGACTTTTCCCCTTCCTCAAATATGTACCCCAGGCATCTTACAAGCAGATTCGAAACAGCTTACAAAGAGGTAAAGAATAACAAAAGTTATAAAACTGGGGCTTCCGATTCTCTCTCTCCCCCCCTCCTTCCCTTCCAGTTTCCATACAGCTTGTTTTTAAATAAGTTGTTTTTTAGGTCCTCTGGAGAAGAAAGGTGGAGGGCAGCTACTATTTGAAACAGAAAATAATAATAATAAACAGATTTCTTGCAGAATAAAAAACATAGTAGCCACAGAAAGAGATTCCCGAGAGAGGAGGATACAATGCGCAAACCCTCCCGAGAGAAGGAGCCCGTCTTTCCGCTCGTCGGAAAGCAAGCCGTGAGGAAGACACGTGGATTCTTTGGCAAGGATGATCCAGGTCTTGGGTTCAAACTCTGTTCCAAGAGCCCAAATAATGGGGGTGGGGAGATTGTAACGACCTAAGGCTTGCAAAAAGTTACTTTTTTAAAAAAAAAAGAGGTGGGACTGCTCCGTATTCCCCAGCCCAGGGGAGTGAGATCCTTGGGGAAGGGATGCGATCCAAAAAAACACCGAAAAAGTAACTTTTGGGGGATTTTTCCGGCCCAGGGCGAGGAGCTCACCGAGGCGCCTTGCTTCTTCTGCTCCCGCATCCAGCTCTTGAAGTCCGTGCAGGCCCGGCAAGGCGGCTTCTTCCTCTTCGGGCCCTCGGCAGCCGCCTGGGGCGACCCTTCCGCGGTTTCCCCGGCCGGAGGGACCGGGAAGGGGAAAGGAAAAGCGGCCGCGGAGGATGACCCTCCGGTACTGGCACTGGGCGCCGCCATCTTGGCCGGGCGCAAAGCATGCTGGGCCCCTGGCCGTGGTGGAGGACGGGCGCCGTTGCCGTGGCAACGCGAGTAGGCCGCGGTCGAGGCCTTGTTTTGGAAGCGTAGATTTTATCGCCTGATAAAGCTTCCTCGTCTTTTAAAACCCCACCAGGCTCTTTGTTGCTTTTTAGTAGCATAAAAAGCTGATTAAAAACGAGTGGGGCGGGAGAGGGGAAGAAAATGCCCCATTTACCACCAGGTATCTTTGCAGCACCTGCAAGATTAATGGGTTTTATGGGGCATAAGCTTATTTTCTCCCCTTTTCTGTAGTACATGTTTTCAGGAATGGGGGGGGAAAAGAAAATGCCCCATTATTTGCCACCAAGTGTCTTTGCAGCACCTGCAAGATTAATGGGTTTTATGGGGCATAAGCTTATTTTCTCCCCTTTTCTGTAGTACATGTTTTCAGGAATTAAAAAAAAAATATAAAAGAATGGACTACAATCCACCAGAGGATTTGATTCAGATGAAAATAAAGATGCACACTTCTTTGGGGATTACAACTCCCAGAATCCTTGGCCAACCCAGCCCAGGGCATTCTGGGTGTTGTAGTTTAAAAAGAAAGCAACAACATCTATGCTCTTGGTTTTTGGTGGTTTTCAGCCCCCGTCTGAAGAAGCAGACTGCAAAATGCAGAAAGTTTGTGCCAGATGAAATGGGCTAGTCTTGCAGGGTGCCACAGAACTCCTGGTCATTGGTGGTGCAACAGACACATATGGCTCAATAACATGTCCATAACATTTTAAAAAAATGATATATATGATAACGGGGAACAATTTGGCCCCCTGGACACAAAAGGGGAGATTTTAAAGCAGAGCAGCCACCAAGGGGGACAGAGTGGACAGTCAGAAATTGGCAATGTTCAGTCTAACGCCAGAGGCTTGGACCCAGACAAGTGAATTTTAATACAATGCTACTGGGTCAATGTGCTGACAAAGGCCAGAAACCAGACCCAAAGAATGGTGGCAGCTTTAAGACTTGCCCATTTATTTCAGGCTGATTTTTCTCATTTGTTCAGACAAGGATTAAGTAAATTGCAATCCACAGGAAAAAAACTCTCTGAAATAAATCTATTATTAGTGTTGAAGGTGCTGCACTAATTTCCCCCTCCCCTTTGTGTGTGTGTGTGTGTGTGTGTATTACCAATGCTGCAAGGGGCTAGCAGATAAACCTATTTGAAAACTAGGACGTTTGTGTGATCAGCCACAAGCGTTTTGAGACCAGCCCGTGCTATGCAAGTCATTTATAGCAAAAACCAAAACCTCGTTTCAAGAAATGAGTTGCCACCTTTAAAAGCTCGCTACAGTCAATCTGTTTGTTTTAAGAGTCGCTACAAGACTCTGTGTTGCTTCTGGTTCTGTGTATTGTTGTTTCCCCTTAGGAAACAAACTTGCACAACTGCCTGCAAAAAAGTTTTGGTGTTGGTTGGGCATTGTGGGTTACTTTAAATTTGCTTTGAGAAAAAGAATAAAAATAGAGCTAAGATAAAAAAAGGAAACAACAGAAGAAAATGACAAGAGGAATGTAACTTCTTTTTTTTTTAAGTCCCAGCCTGTATTATAAAGAACAGTTTAGTTCTACCAGATAATAAAAATCAATTTTCTTAGCTTCTTTGTTCCCCCCTTGAAATGTTCAGCTCCATGCAGCTACAAGGAACACTTTTTTAAAATGGTGCTACCATTCCCCAATATCTATGCATCAGCAAAATGTTAGAAAATGCATAGGTTGCTTTTTCCTGCATCATTTCGGGTTGCTCTGTACTTCCCACTGTGCCTTGCAGCACTGCGTGCTGTTGGAACAATTAAAATGCAAGTAATTATTTCCAGCTCAAGTCTACTCTACGACTGTATAATCATTTTTAAAAACTGGCACGAGCAATTAGCGCTAAGAGTCATGGCCCCTTGCTGAAGCTGCTAGCTGTTTATTCTGGAAGATGTCTGTTAAAATAATGATGTCATTCCATTCACATGCATGGGCTCGCTGGCCTACAATTAATAATGGAACAGGGAAAATGGGTTTATTCTGAAGTATGTAATTAGTGGAGGGGCTTGATATTAGTAAGATCAAAACAAATACTAGAAGCAGCAATAATATGTTTTTGATGTTGCCGCCAGGGCACCACAAAGGGGCATAGTTCAAAGTGAACAAAAACCCTTTATTAGGTGGTTATAAACAAAGAGGTGTTTTTTTTTTCTCCCCTTGGAAATGGCTAGCTCTCTGGAAGCCACGGGGCAGTGATGCAACACAGAGAGAGCAACAGATTTTTACATCTTTAAACTGGGAGAGAGGAATGTTTGCAAACTTAAGTCTGCATCTTACATGAAAACAATTTTGTGATTTCTATAATGCATTAGTCATTCTATACGAGGTGGGCAATCTTTGGGGTGGAGAGCAACCCCTTTATGAGTTTGATCTGACATGAGCAGAGTGTTAGCCTCAAGAATGTTGTTAGAATATGATTCCCATCTACCCTACCCTTATCAATGCACCCTGGGAATTGTAACCCCAGCATCACATTTCTGCTAGACAAGTGGGCATATGTGTAATGGTGACAGGCTATAGACCAGGTATCATGGCAGGAGCACATCTTTTGATGTAATTTGGCCCCAGGCTAAAGGCCAAACGTCTTTACACTGGGAGAGAAAAAGCTATTGCTGTGAACTCAGATGCTTTCGGTAGCAGAGGAATTCCTTCTTCTAATGACAGATCATTTGTAATGTCTGTTTCTGTCCCCAGTTGCCTCTCCTTAGCTAGGTCTCTTGCGGGGATTGTTTCATTCTAAATGGTGAACTGGACAAAGAAGAGGAAGAGGGGAAGGAGAAAGGCCCAGAGAAGTCATCTTGCCAAGTCTTCGGTCCCTCCTTAACTCGAACAGGAGCCTTACCTTTCTCTCCGGTTTCCTCCGAGGCTTCTTTTGCTTCTGGCGCCTGGGGCGTCTCTTCTTGAGCGGGCGATCAGCAGCTGGTAGCGATAGTGCCGCCATGGGCCAAAAAGCGGGTTTCAGAGGCAAGAACATCGTTGCCTGGTGGCAATTCCTGGGATGGGCCTTACTCCTCGTGAAATAGGGTGAAACGGAAGGGGGCTGGTCCGGTGGAGAAGGCTCGCTTGTTTCCGGACGAGGGGAGCTTGGCTTCATTTCCAGGGCCCCCTTCTTAACCCAGTAGAACACCAACATCACATGCCTCTTCTTCTTGTTGACATCTTCTGCCGACATCTTGGCCTTCTAAGGGCAAGCGTTCGGAGGATGAGGCAAGGAGGACGTGGGAAACTTCGCCTGCAACAGTGCAAGAAGACACAGGGCAAGCGTTTGGAAGACGAGGTGAGGAAGACGTGGGAAACTTCGCCTGCAACAGTGCAAAAAATCACCATTCAGTGACAGCAAATCCAGCCAAACTCGGGGATATTAATTGCACCAGGGACACTCCGACTCCGATCAGCAGGTAGCCGCCTGGACAAATGTGAAACCTTGTCGTGGTCTTTTCACAGTCTGGAGCAGCAAGCGACTCCTTCCTCCAGCAGCTCATGGCGCACCGTGCTGACATGAGTTATGTCACAATCGGCCTTTGATGCTTCATAAAGCCGTCTGTGAACTTTAAAGAGCTGTCTCCTTTGACAACAAAACCTCAGCCTTTTAGGTGACTTGGAAATGTATTTCCCTGATGGCACCTAGGCTTGGGAGCGGCTTTTAATTTAGATTGTTTTGTATTCATTTATCCATTAAGCAAAAGCGGACACTTTAAAGAAAAAGAACACACAGAACTCAAAATGTTTAGATGATTTGGACTACTACAGCTTCCAGAATCCCCTAGCCAGTGTTATGGGAGTTGTCCTCCAACAGGTAACAATGTCCCAGGTCTGAGAAGAAACAGGTTTAAAGAATGAACCCAACCAAATTGCCAGCTGGTGTTCCCCTGCTTATGAAATCTGAACCGGCTTGTGTGGACTTTTCTACCTGCTCCTCAAACCTTAGATTAAAAGAGGCACCTTCTCGATAACTTTTCGGTGTCTGTAGATTTGTCACTTCGATCTCGTGTTGTGGATGTTGTTGCTTCCCCGATGCCGGAATGTTTTGCCCAAGACAGAGCCGTAGTTCTGGAAATACCTGGAATGGGGCACACCTGGCTTTGAACATTCCTGTTGTGTCCCGTTGGGCTGAAATGCTCCATTTTCTTCAGCTCATCTTCTGGAAAAGATCTAGTCTCTTTCAGTGGGAATATTTGCACACCGTAAAATACCTGTTCTCTCACTGATTACAGTGGTATCTTTTTTTCCCTGCCGTCCAAACAATGTAATCCTTGTCTTGAAGACGTGAGAACCAGCCACGAATTTTTGCTTGTGTCGTCACCAGGAAGAAGAGCCCAACGTGTCCTCCTTGCTCCGGATGGCAGTAGAAACTGTTGAGAAAGAGAGCTTGGTGGAATATCGGAAGAAACAGCATGAGCGGAGGGAGAGTGGAATCGGCTGCCAGAGGAGGTAGTAAATTCCTCTTTCCTGGAGGGAATTAAGCACCGGCCAGAAGGATAACCATCCTCTCTTCCAAGTCCGACTTGTCTTGCATCCACGTTCTTCTGACTTCCTCCAGAGATGCCTTCATGATGGGCTGTGCTGGGCAAAGGGAGGACCCACAATTCTCAGGATCCGTCCACGAAAGTCACCTTGCCAGGTTCTTGGAGGCAACCGGATCCTTTGCGAGGGACAGGTCCTTTCTGATCCAGGAAAGAAACGGAGTTTGAAGAGGGGATAGGGAAAGCTCACCTGCAGGACGCAGGTGCTTCAAAGGGTTGCGGGCCTGCACCTGCGAGCAAGACGGGATGAGTGCGGACAGGTTCCCCGTGGGGGCGAAAGCCCTGGGTGTCCTCAAGCACCAGAAAAAGCAGGTAAGACATCCAAGCGGCTCCCTTTACCTGCAGTGCATGCAGCTTTCCGAACCGTTTTAAAGATCAAATGTCCCTTTCCCAAATGATGCTACAGAATAATAGGTTTGATCTCAGTTCTTCCATCGGCACGATAAGACGTAAGCAATTAAGATTTTTTTTTGTACTCTGGCAGCCGCCGCGTTCATGGAAAGTGACTTTTAAAAAGTAATTTGCTCCTGTTCCTTGTTGGATCCTTTAAAAAAACAATTCATTCTTGTTAGTATTTAGAAAGTAATTTGTTGTGTTATTTCTTATATTGAACATTCCTTTTTTTATTTTTGTAAATTAAGCACAGTGGCTCATTAAAGAAAAGAGAGGGGTGAGCCTTTGAGGTATGAAGGGTAGTAATCCCTTCCCTGTCAACAAGAGGAAGACTGTCTTAACGTAGATTCTTTCATACTGGGGTGTTTTTTTTTACTTGAGTGTAAAACGCGAGTCAGTTTAATCGTGACCCAGAAAATAAACAATTCCCAAAGTCTAATTGAAGTTTTCATTGCTTATTCTGCTCTTTGTCGTAAAGAAGTAGTCCCTGAAGAAGGGAAGGGGAATCCACTTCTGAAAAGGGTCACCCCAAGTCAGAACTGACTTGATTATTATATAATCGAACCCTTTATGAAATCATAAAGGGATCCCCTGTCGTGTAAGGACCTCACAGCCTTTTCTGAGTTTTTTCCCCCCTGAACAGTTGGAAGTTGGCTGGCAAAATTGACTTCCAAGAGTTAGGGTGCTTTTGTCAACAGTTTGAACCCAAGGCGTTCAGTTTCCAGACGTCAGCAGGTGGCCTTTCTTGGGCTTTAGAGGGGAGCACCTACTCCAGGGGTCACCCCCCCCATTTCCTCCTCTCCCATCATTTCCTTATACAGGCTGTTGTATAGGGCATCCGGCTGCAGGGCTGGAGGCTGAGAGTTCGATTCCCCGTTGTGCGTCCCGGGAGATAAGCCAGCCTGAACATCGTCACCTTAAGTCAGAATTGACTATAGATGGCTCACAATTATTCTTCTTTTTGGGGCAGCTTGCTTTTTTGCTAATGGCCACCACCGAATTCCATCTTTACAAGTCAAGGCTGGGAGTTCAATTCCCCGTTGTGAGTCCCGGGAGATAAGCCAGCCTGAACATCATCACCTTAAGTCAGAATTGACTATAGACGGCTGACAATTATTATTCTTTTTGGGGCAGCCTGCTTTTTTTGCTAACGGCCACCACCGAATTCCATCTTTACAAGTCCCTGTCGGCAACACATGGGCCCATGACTCTCGGACTAACAATAGGATTTGACTGGGGATGTGGGGATTATGGGACAGGTAGTCCAGTCCATTTGAAGGCCCCCAGTTTTGGATATGTAAATGAATGCTTGAAGTCCTTTCAGTTCCATGAAAAGGGGGGGGGAATCAATCAAACCACTAGAGAAAGCTTTTTTTTTGACTGTACAAGTCTCAGAATTTAAGTAATATATTGCATTAACGGACACAGATGCTCATTCGGAAAGCTCTAAATTTGCCTGTTCAGTCCTGGGGAAGGCCATTTGCTTTGAAGATTTTGATCCTCATGTTGTATTTTGTATTCTATTTTATTGTCACGAGCACTCTTTATGGTAGAAAGGCAGGGTATCCGTTTCATCAAGAAAGATTCAGTGTGCACCTGCTTTTCCCCCCCAGATCTGCATGCTTTCTGTGCTGTGGTCAGATCAAAACAACGTCCTCATCTACAGGGAATTTGAAGAATTCAAGAAACTCCACGTAAGTTTTCCTTTCAACGGAGCCCGTTTGATTTCGGGGGGGGGGGGGGGGGCTCCCCCGCTTTTTTTGCCTCTCCTGTTCTCTTTGCAATAATTTTCCAGGCTGTTTGGGGTGGGGAGAAGAACAAGCCCACAACAATGAACTTTGTTGTTTGGCACCTCATTTAGAAAAGATTGAAGAGAAAATTCCCCATTGAAAGTGGTGTCTTGAAGAAGTCTGACCGAACCATCCCTACATTCCGAGGTAAAACAAGGGAAGCCTTTAAATGGATTTCAGGTTGAATTGGATTCATGAAATGTACTCCCCCCCCATGTCCCCGATAACCTCCATCAAAACCACAGCTCAAAAATGTCGCCTTTTTAAGAGCTACGACTTTCCCAATCAAGGCATGGGAAGCTTCACTCCGTCCTGCAGCCCACCAGAGAAGCCTCTGCCCCAACACGCTTGCAATCATCACAAAGGAGCGGTGATTTTCACACAACCCTACAAACTATGTATATTTCTCTAGGCTTTGTAGGAATTGGCAAAATGAATTTCTGTACCTCGTGTATGGTGTCCCTTAATATTTTTTAGCTCTCATCGCTCCCCCACCTTCTACATAGGCCCTACGCAGACATGCGTGCCCTAAAACTGTACACCAGACCCGTTCCCGGACGCCGCCACCCCCAAGTCTTCTGAAAATGGGCTCTCTTGAGGGATGTGGGTCGGGAGGGAGCCCTGATTCGGAGCAGTCCCTCTTAGGAAACCGTCTCTCTTTCCTCGGTCCCCGCTCCACCCAAGAGGTCAACGCAATCCTGAGGAAGAACCACAAGCTGAGCAGATGCGTGGAAGCCCTGAAATCGCTGGAGATTTACTGCCAGGACCTGCTGAAGACCCAGCCGAACATCTCCCGGGGGGAAGATGTGGTCTGTTTTTTCGAAGCCCAGAACCAAGATCTTGACCCCTCTTTCCCAGAAAACAGGTACTGTATTTTCTATGTCTGCGAGAGCCGATTTTTTTCAGAAACCTTGGAGGAAAGCCTGTTTTATAGGAGACTCCCTTCAGTGTTTTGATCATTTTGATTGACAGGGCCTGGTATTTTTTGAATAATAATCATCTTAGTCCCCTTCCCAGTGTTGTCTCCATAAAGGTAGAAACGGCATGCGTTCATCACGATAGCCATGCTTTCAGGGCGAGTGCAGAAATGCAGAAGCGCGAGATGATCCGTATGAACAATCTGGGTCTAGCAGTCTTCACCTCTGTCTTTTGTACAGTTAAGGGGCCTTAATGGCCTGTTTGAGACAAAGCTGCCCCCATAAGACTGTAGATGTGGGCAGGGATGGCTTACAGCCACATATTGATGCTGAGGAGAGTCATCCACACCCACAGCAGGGGATGGGAGGTGGGTCAAGGAGCAGAGAGAAAACAGGAAAAGCTGGGGGGGGGGATGTTGGTGGACATCCTTTTCCCTGTTGATCAAAAAAAATCCTGGTGCTTTGACCCTGCAGACTGGGTCTCCGCTATATCCGTTCCAGAACCTCTGAAACAGAAGGCAGGAGTTTGAATTACTGTCTTAAAATAGGATTAATTTTCCCACTGGGGAAATTGGTGACTGTTTTCTGAGCACTTCGACCCAGAGAGTTCCAAGAGACCCATCGTCCAGATGGGAGACTCAGTTCCAAACCTTTTGTAGAGGCAGTCCATCATCCCACACTTCTGGAGGCTAATACCACCAACTCACCACACTGTGAGAATTTCAGATCAGTGACGCCACATCCGAAGCACAGGCGCCCCTTTTAAGAATCTGGGGTACAAGCGTGAAAAATGTTTATTGCAGTGTGTGATCTGGAAGGAGCTGAAATGCGGTACTTTTGCAACGGTGCAGAAGGACGTTTCGATACCATCTCTCCCCCCACCCTTCCCCGGTACGCCAGCCTTGCCAGTCCAGATAGGTCCCCGGAAAAGGCTTTTGAGGGGTGGATGGAGAGGCTCACAGGACGAAAATGTGGGCATGCACGGTTGCTGTTTTGGAGTTGATTGGAGCACACTCTGGTCCCACTCAGATCAATTTCCCCGAATGTCTCATTTTAGCATCATCATCCTGCCTTCCAAAATGGAAGACTCCAGAACAGGGGAGCCGGCCGGGTGCTCCAGACCGGTCATCACACAGCCGGTCGTGGCGCCGCTCTACCGATGCCTCGAAGCCTTTGACACGGACGATGTGAAGGAGAACCCTTTCAGCGCAAGCCGGGCGGAGACGCTTGAAGTGCTCATGAAGGATCGGACAGGTGAGGGCCGCCAGTGGTCCCCCCCCACCCCCAAAAAATCCTCCTGATGTGGTTGTGTTTTGACTACAAGATACAGAGCTATGAACGGGGAACTCCCAGTGTCAGCCTAGCTTCATTGGGTGCCTGCAGATCAGTCAGTTTCTCTTGGCCCCAATCCTCCCCGTGCCCAGAGTTCAAATGTCACAGCCGCCTGAGTTTCATTGGGTCCCTTTGGACAATCCTCCCCCCGCTGTTTGGCAATGCCATGGCAAAAACAGGTCTGCCTTGCAAAGTTGCTGTACAACCGTGGGAAGGAGATACGAAAGGCTCTTTGAGCATTTAAACCCTGAACATGTTCTAGACGTTGTGGTCTGTTTTTGACCTGCCCAGCTCTGGTGTTGAGCATCGCAGAGGCGCTGGATCCGGGCTAAAACTGTACCCTTGAACTGCTGAAGAGCTCAGTGGCAGAAACAAGAGTTTGGGAGTTCGATTCCCCATTGTGCTCCTTGACTGGGGCTGGATGTGAGGATCCATCCGTAGATTTCTCTTCCTGCTCTGCAGTCCTGAGATTGAGATTCCTTAGCCCAAAAAAAGAGAGAGCTTGCTTCTATCTCTTCTTTGCAGCCTTCAACTTTGGCTGTTTAAAACAGCCGCAGAGTGTCTCTGCCCACGAGCAGAGTTTCCTTACCCATCTGAGATGAAGAGGTCACGGTGGATTTCCCCCACCTGCCACTGCCGACCGGCTAATGGGAGTGGGGAGGATGCTGGCTTAAGAAAGGGAGCCGATGGTCTTCCTGTTCTTTCGGTGTCGTTTGGCTTGCAGGGTGGTGGCTGGTGGAGAACCAGAGGAAGCAGCTGGCGTGGTTCCCGGCCTCCTATCTGGAGACCACTGAGGAGGACCCCATCGTGAGGGAACCCAACGAGGAAGGTGACTCTCTGCTTTTGCAAGAGATTCGGGGAGGCCAGAGGGGGACCCTCCTGGTCTTGCAGGGCTGCGATGCCCATCTGCCTCAACCAGCATGGCCAAGGATGAGGGACACTGGGAGTTGTAGTCCCACCACCTCCCTCGACGGTCCAGCACCAGTGCTGCAGGGAAGGCGCTGTGGGGCCGGGGGGGGCAGGACTAAAGCTTCCTCTTTTCCACCCAGAGATGCTGTATTACCTCACACAGCCCTACGAGGCCAAGCGATCGGACGAGGTCTCGGTCAAGTGTGGGGTGGTGGTGGAAGTGCTGGAGAAACTGGACACTGGATGGTGGCTTATCTGGTAAGAATGGAAGGAGCCAGGCCAGGTCAGGGGTCTGGGAGACCCCTGCATCAATTTCAGGGTGTGTGTGTGTGTATGTGTGTGAGAGAGAGACCCTTGCTTAGCCATTGCACAGTGGCTGGAATCCTGTCCTTCTTGGTGAAATGCCAAGGCACACCTTTGTAAGAAGGCTGGGCGTTTACACCCAGGGGGGCCACCCTTGCACAATTCAGTCACACAATTGATCGCGCAACTCCTGTCACATTTGTGGCACAGCACGCCTGCAGAAGGGCTTCTTGAACAGAACGTCTACACCCCCCACCATGCTCAGTCCACACTTCTGCAGCTTTGCACGGTGCCTGCAAAGAATGTGGACTCTGTACAAGTTTTTGCAGGGAGCAAGGAGAACAATCTGGCTGGCATTGCCCTTACTGTACTTTAACAGGCACCTACATGTTTAGATAGCTTGATTTGTGCTTCTCACGTGGTTTAAGGCATCCCAGTGGCTGGGAGTTTGAATCCCCCACTGGGCCTCCTTGAGATAGGCTGGACTTGGATGATCCGCAGGGTGTCCCTTCCAGCTCTGAATTGCTGAGATGATTGTTATTATTTGGATTACTAGCAGCCCTGAATCCATGGGACGAACGGGGGGTTCTAAATCAAATTAGTAATCTCCATACTAAGGATGTTGGTGTCACGCCACTTGCAAGATGCATTCCTGTGCAAACGAGCGGAACAGATTGTATCATCATATATGCAAAATTTAAACAAATGGATTTAAACAAGGGGCCCAATTCAGCTCCTGTAATGTTTACGGCTCTGGGGTTGGTTGGGGAGGGAAGGGCGTGTTGGCCGAGGCTGATGGGAGAGGTATGCTGATAGCGCTCCCCAAGGGATTGAAGGAGGGAACAGGGCATCACCCTGACACCCCTTTTGTGCTTCGCGCTTCCAGGTACAACGGCCGAGGCGGTTACGTCCCCTCCGCGTTCCTCCAGCCGTACAGAAACCCACACAGCAAGTTCCTAGCCCTGGCTGCGAACTGTTTCTCCATCTCCACCCCAAACCTCTCCAGAATTCCCGGGCTTTCGGGTAAGGCGTCCCCGATCCAGCTGAGAGGCTGCCTCGACCAGGCGGTCCGGGCACATCCCTCCAACCGGAGGAGAGGAGAGGACCTGATGTCCTGGAACAGAGCCCGGGCCTCCATCCTGTCCGGCTGCGGTTGGACCACAGAGATGGAGGGCCTGGCTCACAGTTTGGGGAACCGCAGCCGACAGGAATCCCCATGGGCCCTGATCTCCGAGGGTCGGAGGGCAAAGGGCAGCCTCTACCCAGAGACCCCCCAAGATCCCTTTGGGAGCCGGGGGCATCTATGTAAGCAACTGAGCAGCGCCAGCGTCGCCTCCCAGGGCAGCTGCTCCGATCGTTCTCCTTGCACCCGGCCGTCCCCTGCTTGTGGGAGCCCCCCGGTGCCCTCCCGGCCCACCCCCTGCGAAATCCTCCAGAAGTGCTCCACCGTCACCAAGAAAGCCATGCGGAGGGCTCTGCCCCAGGCCAGCCCCGGCCCCTGTGGTTGCCACTCGGCGGCTCTGTGAAGCCAACCACCCAGAAGGTGTTCGAATATTAACCTTTTTCGGGTTAGGTGGGAATCTCCCCTAACCCCTTCGCCCCTGGTTAACAAACATTTTTGAGAAGATACCGTGTCTGAAGCAAGCGGTTTTGGGGATCAGAAAACCGTGAAGGCACCACCCCAAGCAGCAAGATTTTTCGAAGGGAACATCACACCACTGCGAAGGAATAAAGCCCAGGACTGTACTGCACGGTCAGATTTTTAAGTCTAGGATGTGTTAAAAAAATCCCCCCGTGACTGGGAACGACCCCCTTTTCTTGTAACCAACACTAGACGTTAACGTTGTCACTGCATAGGTGCCTATTGGACATGGTCAGTGAGTGTGTTTAAATGTATCCGGATAAGCTTAAGGCTCCCTGGCAAAAGGACGCGCATTGAAAACATTTCTAATCCCACGTTTTCACAGTGAGCCCCAGGATCGCTGCAGTGACGCAAGACTGCTTGGAATTCGCCTGGAGGAAGAGACTCCTATGCCGTGAACACGAAAAGGGTGGCCGCTCGAGAGAGAGAGCTTGTTTCGCCGGCACACCCGATGCATCAAGAGGTGGGCAAGGGAGAGCGGGACCCTCCAGCTGGAAACTCACGGTGGGGCCCCTTTCCTTTCAAATGGGCTCTGCACAGATCCAGGCGGGTGGCACAGAGGGCCCCTGTGTGCCACCTGGAGGCAAACGCCACCTTTTTAAAAAGGATCCCACCCTCGTTTATCATCCAGCATCCACCCCCACCTCCCGCAAGAGGAGAAGAGACTGTTTTTACTCAGCCTGACGGTCAGGGCTGCTCCATCGTCCCTCATACTGTTTCAGGATGATGCTGTAGCCCGTTGCACACCTCTCAGTGCAGAGGGAGGCATCTTCCCCTTAAGACAGGCCCCCACCCCACTCCAAAAACTGGTCCAGGTTTCTCCACGAGCCAGCAGGCGGTTCACGGCACTGACGTACGGCACAACGATGCCGCTCGGAACAGGACTGACACCATCCTGCCCATGTACTGTTATAAGTAAAAATCAAAGAAGGAAGGGAGACGCTAGATTGTGGAATCCTCGCAGGAGTCAAGGTACTCACGTTTTTAAAAAGAAAAAATTTAAACATTTATTGTACAAAGTTTTGAAGCATGCCCCCTGGCAAGAGGGCCAGTCTGGGCTTGAGGTTGGCAGGATAGTTGGGGGCAGGGAAAGCTCCTGGGCTCTTCAACTCGGGTCACGTCTCCCCTTCCTCGTCTGCTCCAGACGTCCCGGCCAGTCTCATGTTTTGCCACATGAAATCGAGGAACATAGAGGCTTGGAGTAACTTTCCAAGCCGCTGGAAGTGACGCTCTAGAATGGGGGGGAACAAAACAAAACGAGAATGAAGAGATGGTAAAGGAGGCAGGCAGGGATCAAAGCTGCTCCCATCCTCGCCTCGCCATTACGACGACACCTCCCACAGGTTACGGAAATGGATCCAGGGTTCCAACAGAGAAGCAAGACCGCTCTCCCATCCCATTGCAGTGTAAATGGGCTTACACTGAGCTGCTGGGAAGGAGAACCCCATGGAATGCCAGCCGCTGAAGCCAGGCTGTCGCTCGGTGGCGGCCTGCTTTTTCACTCAGCAGATGGAATGGTAAGGAGCCCCTTGACAGCACCAGGTGAGAAAGAGCTGGGCTCTCACTTCCTGATGCCTTTTGGCAGATCTGGCTTTGTGATTCGGTGGCCCGTTTTTGGAACCACACTGGAAATGTGCAGAGACGCCGAGAACCAAGCAGGAAGGGAAAGGTGTGTGTGTGTGTGCTTGGGAAGAGGTGGAGGTTCCCTGGCAGCGATGCTGCCGACGGGGAGACAAGGCTAGCGAGAGAGAAACCCTCGTTTGAAAGGGAAGGGAAGAAAAGGGTCGCGAGAGGACGGGAAAAGCTGTCGCTCCTTCTCCAGGAACTGGGAAGGAGACGGCAGCAGGAAAGAGAGCGATCGGCAGAAGAGTACAAGCCTGGAAACGCCCCAAGGCAGCGTCTCTCCAAAGAGAATTAGGAAAAGGCTGTGTGGTTCAGCATCACACAAATGCAAAAGTAAGGTGATTGAGACTTTACTGAACCCCTAACAAATCACACAAATGGACCCACCAAAGTTTGCAGAGTGTGTGTGTTTTGTTTTTTAAGCGGTTCAATAAAAGCGTCTCCCTCCCTGTTTTCCTCCACCTCCGAGGCCCCCTCAGGGAAGGTCTGGCCTCTGGGTCTCAACTCCCATCAAACCAGGGATGGCAACACATTGGGAAGATGAGACCTGAAGCGGTTTCCTCTCCAGGAGAGCGGCTTTCGGGAAATAGACCGGCCAAGCTCCACCACCTCGCAAGAGGGTTGTAAGGAGAAAAGGAGAGGAGGGGCCCCTCTGGTTCCCCTCTTGGGAAAGAGAGAGGGGGTTGCACAGGAGGAGGAGGAGGCCCCGCTAAGGTGGGGGTTGGGAGGGGGGGAGACCCGGAGAGCCCAAACCGTCCCTTACCGGTGTAGGGCAGAAGAGACTCCACCGCGGTTTTGATCCCCTCGAACTGCAGCAGGGACTCCGGCGGCTCGTGCTGGAGGAGGGTCTCCAGGACCGCCTGAGCCTCGTGGCAGTTCCGCGAATTGGTGTTCCAGGTGACGGAGAACTTCAGCAGAGCCTCTGGAAGGGCCAAGAGAAGAGGGGAAACCACGTCATCCCTGAGGGGACACCAGGCAGGCCAGCAGGTCCTGGACGAGAGTCCCTTTGACCAGCGAAGGGGGCCCAAAGCCGGGCACAAGGCTCGCCGACAGGTCTGACACACACCTGCTTGGAGGTGAGGAGTTGCTGAGGGTGCCCCAGCAAACCTGGGGAGACCCAACGCCCACCTCCCAGCTGGTAGGAACTGTGACAACCCCCCCCAAGGGGTCGACGTCTCCCTTGAATTGCACAGGGTCTGAATAGATTGGGTTATATGTGGATTTATTTTCAAGAAGGGGTCAAAGTGGTCTCCTCGCCCCCAAGCACATCATCTCTAATTCAGCCTCTCGATCGGGTTCCTAAGGACCTTGAAGGCTCGTGTCACACAGTCCTGGTTGGAAAGGATGGACAACGCTAGGGAAGAGAACCGCAACCGAGGGAAAACTGTATGTCTCTCTCTCTGTGTGTGCCTGTATCAACTGTTTATGCCTTGCAGTTACATTTTGGGGGGGACGTTAAAGAGTTACACAGGGATTCTGAACTACAAAGGGGAGCCAGAGCCCCTCACCCTGAGCAGCGCAGAAGGGAGTCGGGGGCCTTGTGTCTTGTATGTACACAGAGCCATCCTTCTCAAGAAGACTCACCTTTCTGGTCTTTCCGAAGCTTCGCGATGTTCCTCACCAAGTCCTCTCTTCCACGGTCCTCCTTAAGAATGGCTAGCGGAGAGAAAAGGAAAGAAAAAAGCTCAATAAATACGAGATTGCACGTTGCATTTTTAAAACAGACACATATAGATTGGGAGAAAGAGTCACACACACGTGTGTGTGTGTATATACATTTATGCACACAGTGTATTAAGTGCAGCTCTTGGGGCTGAAAAGGCGACACACCTGTGAAATGCATAACAAAACCTGGGGGACTGAAAATCCCTCTGTGTAGCCCCAAAAGGATAACCAGGGGGGTTGACTGTGGAGGTACATCCCTCGGAACTCACTGGGACTTGTTCTTCTGCATGAGGTGTGCAGGATCAGATTGCAAACGCCAGAGTAGCACAGGACTGATTCTATTCAAATTCGGATTACAATCCTCATCCTCCTTTACCCACAGGTGATGGCTTTTTGGGAAATCCCGAAGCATCTACATGGCTAAAGGCTCCTCACCCATCTAGGAAAAGAAATATTTCCCCCCCTTTTCTTTTCACTTGCTTTCCCAGAGAAATCTTACCCTTGACAACCGTCAGGACAGTGTGGGGACGGTCCAAGGAGATGGCGAAGCCCAGCGCTTTCAGGTATTGCTTCTCATGCAGCAGGTTTGACAGCTCCTGCTCTCTGGAAAGGCAAAGCAAGATGCTGAGAGTCAGGGCTTGCAAAGGGAGCAAGCTGCTAGTCCTCACTGCTAAAACCACAAACACAGTTTTGGTGAAGATAAACCACAGGGAGCAAATGGGGAAGGGGTTCCATCTTGATTTGGCAACGTGGATCTAGGCATAAAAGGAGGAGAGGTGGCAAGCCCTCATCCATTGACCTTTTCCCACCCCGAGGCCAAAGATTGGAGGGCCCCCACCAAGGAGGCTAAGCTTGAGCCCAGGGGACGCCTGTACGTAGCGAGAACATCAGTGCCATTTATATTTCAGGACAACATGATGTCGCTTGATCGTCACCCCAGGCATTTAAAGGCCCATTTTTGCAATTTCCAGGTTATTGAAACAGCACAAATGCAAGTAACATTCCTATAATATGGAGAAGCCCAATAACCCATCGGGGAAGTTGCCGAGAATCACCCACTTCAGGATCTGCTCCTCCTGCTTGGCTTGCTCCTCTTGCAGCTCCTCCAGGGTGACGTCCTTTCCGCGGATGGCCAGAAGATAAAAACACAAAGAGAGAAAGGAAGGGAGGATGATGCCGAGGGGAAGGAGAAACTAAGAAGCAGCTCACCTTAAATCGAAACAGGGCTTGCAAATGTGATGTATGAACCCCCCCCCCCGACTCCCTGCCAACAACCCCCAAATGGAAAGGATTTAAAGCAGGGTCCTCTTATCCACAGAAATCAGTATCTGCGGATTCACTGATCCACAGTCTGGAAATATTAGAGAAGAAAAATCCCCAAAATATAGATTTCTAAAGAGGAGGATACCAAAACTGGCCACTAGAGACCACGCAATGCATAGTGTTCACTATTAATGCATAGTGTTCTCTCTAATCTGTGTTTGGAACCGATTCCCCATGGATATGGGTGGCGGTGGCTGGTTTTCCTACTGTAGGCAAAGTCTGGATTCAATCCCACATTTGCTGCTTGTGATCAAATGTAAAGGCAGAGGCCCAAATCCAGCTGCCTAACAGTAGACCCATGGAAATAACTGCTGAAAGCTGGCTTTGACGGGGGGGGGGGGAGAGACTCAGCTTCCAGGCAAGCCTTCTGGAAGAATTCTTGAATGGTGAAGATTTGGGGAGGGGAGCCCCCCCTCCAACCTCCTGCTTAGGCACCCCATCTTCAGGAGGGAGGTTTAGGTTTTCGTGGCTGACCCGCAGGGAGATCTGCCTCTCCCATCTTCGAAGGCGCTGCGCTCTCTGCACCGCCCGCTGAGCTGTTTTTAGTTACACCCCCTTTTGCCTGTGTTGACGGCGGAGGTACTGAGAACCCCGGCCGTGACACAAACACACACCGCAACATTTGCCAAAAATAAACCAGCGTCACCCTTCTCGACGTAAAGGGCCTCTCTTGCAACGTGTCATCCGCTTTAACACGGGTTTAATGCACAGCCTTTAGGTGCTGGAGCCGTTTGGACCGCGTCGCCTTCCTTCTGCATCAACTGCACTTTTTTGTCCCCCCCCCCCAAATTAAAGTACTCTCGCTAGCCTTCCAAGCTGGGAATGGCCTCAAACTAGGGGAACGGAAGGCCTGCCACTTCTCCCAGCCTCTGAAGCCCCACCTCCTGACCCGGCCCAGCAAACCAGCAGGTGGGACTGGGTTCCCAGCCATGGCCCTGGGGAGGGGGGGGTCGGTGTTGAATCTTCTCCCCCAAGAATTCTGCTTGGCCTCCCACCCTTTGATAGCCTTCGGGCCCGCCCTAGAGACTTCGTCCCTGCTGAGTTCATTACTCATCTTGAGGCTGGCCCTTTAGATCGGAGGCTTCCCTTGCCCAGCTCTTTGGACATCTTCCTTGCATGGGATCTTGTGGGTTTCCCCCCCCCCCTTTCTAAAAGGGAGCAAATCTCTGCAAAGGGAATGCACATCTACACAAATGCCCACCTCTGCCACAGCCGGGCACAAAACCCAGGCACGTGACGTTTGGCACAGCTAGGAAGGGGACCCCGGGGCATGCCTTGTGGGTGTCGTTTGGTCTTTTAAAACTGGCTAATCAAGCTTAGTGAATGATAGACAGTCTTCAGACTGCGGGACTCTCTTCAGCTGTGGGTGCCGGACCTTTCCTAACAAGGAGGAAGAAAGCTGGGCTCAGGCCTGGGCGCCCCAAGAGAGAGTGCCCTTCATCAGGGAGGGGGGGCTTGGGAGTTTTCAAACTGCTGAACACCAGACAGGATGAGAGAACATGCACGCATGCACAGGGGAGCCAAAGAAGCCTGGGGAATGGGAGTTTTGGGGGGGGGAGGAGCAGAAGCAAAAAAGATGGGGAGTGGATGAAAGGGACGAAGAGGGAAAGAGAGGTAGCCTCACGGTGGGAGGACAGCTAAACAGTAGGTTGCCCATAGAAAGCTGTCAAGTCATATATACGTAAATTAATATATAGAAATTATTCTGCTTTCCATGATTGGATAGTTATGGCTCCCAAAGGATAAACCTAAATATTTATTCAACAATAAGAGCCTTACATTAAAGTTCACCGTTGTGGGGTTTGTTTGTTTGTTTTTTGCAATGCTCACAACTTTGACTTGGGAAGCAAAAAGCTGCCAACGGCAGACCCCCCCTTCCCCCACACTTCCCTCCCAGGTCCTCACTGGGATCTCTAGTGAAAAACCTCTCGTTAACAGGACAGGAGGAAAACCTCCCCCTCTCCTGCCCAAGACCCCAGGGAAGCTACAAGAACTCAGCACCAGCGGTAGAAGAGGTTTTCTAGGCACACTGGTTTCCTAATGTAATTCCTATATCAGTTTAGAACGTGATCCTCATAAAGCAGGCAGGATCGCACCCCTTGCAAGCCTTCCTGTCTCAGCAAAAAACAAACACAGAGAGGAATGAAGCAAAACATCAAACAGAACCACAGCCGAATGCCAGGAACCTGAAACGGGATCTTCTGCATTTTTGTTGCTGCCCGAAGGAGCACGAAAAGCGCTGGATCTAAAAACGCAGAGACCTTGGCTGGCTAAAGAAACGGACGAGTAATATTGACCGACTTGGTTCACCCCTTTTATTACGAACTAGAATCGGCGCACGCCAGCCGGACCTCCTGTGCACGCTTATGGAGAGGGTGTCGGCGGCTGTGAGTGACGTACGCTTAGCGCACTTTGATGAGGAGAATGAGGTAGAGGAGGAAGAAGAAGAAGAAGAACATGAAGCAGACAAGCCAGGCGACCAGGGTGGTCTGGAGGCTCGGCAGCGGGATGGGCTGTACCTTCCACACCAAAACCCGGGAGTCGCTGGAGCCGGTCACCACGGCGTCATCCTTCTTGTTGGCGTGAAGGCCCCACACTTTGTCGTCATGGGCGTCCAAGGTCTTCACACACTCGTTGCTCTTAATGGTCCAGAGTTTGAGAAGGCCATCGGAAGCGCTTGCGGGGGGAGAGAGAGAAAAAAAGAGACCAGGTAAGAACAGCCTTGGTTATAACGGTCCTGCCTTCCTTAAACACCCATCGGCTCCCCCAAAGCAGCACAAAGCGGTGTCTCCAGGTAAAATAGAACAGTAAGAATTGTGGGACAGCCAAAGAGCAACGTTAACTAGAAACCCCGGGTCAATGACACAGCGCAGGGCAAACCTAATATCTCGGCGGAGAGAATTCTATAAGGCAGAAGGCAACAAGGGCAAAAATCGGGCTGTGCAATCAAAAAGGAGCTCTGTACTTTTAAGTGAATTCCCTGAGAGAGAGAGAGAGAGAGAAGAAAAACCAACACTTTCCATTTAAAAGTAAAAGTTGTGGTTGATTGAAAACCTAAAAGAAAAAGGAAATTCGGACCCATTCAAAATGGTCTGACTGATGCACCTTAACTTCCACCCGTAGTAAACACTACGGTATAATCAAACTAGCCACCTCGTTCCCTACACAATGTATTGCTAACAGTGTGGAAGAGATTAAATGGAACACAGGCGTTGAGGGTGTCCACCCCTACAAAGAGCAGATCTGCAAGGAAGCTTTACCCCCCGTTACACCACTTTGACCAGTTCATCCAGAACTGGGGGAAGGACATCCTGTTCTGCTTTGTGGACTTAGTCCTAGGTCAGCGGAGAAGTTTCCCTCCCTCGCACCCACCCTCTCTCTTTCTTGGAGGAAAAGAGTGGCTCTCCTCTCTTGTTTTACTTGGGGTAGGAATGTGAACCGTCCGCCCTGAGCAAAAAACACCGCTTCTTGAGAAAAAGGGCCTACCTGCTGAGCACCTGCCCCCCTCGGCTCACAAAGATGAGCTTCAACACAGAGGCGTCGTGGCCTTCAAACGTCTGGTGAGGGAAGCAAGGACGAGAGGATTGGATTCAGGACCGCCAGAGAAGGCACGCAGCAAAGACAAGACACAGATCGCTTCCAGCAAAGCTGTCTTTCTGGACGGCCGCTCCCAGGAGACCTGGGCCAGCACGGAGGACGGCCACGTCGGCTGGGATGTTCTGGGGATGGTGGTGGAGCGAAGCCCCTTTCCTCCTCCCTGGCCAGCCACTGAGAACGACCGTCCTGGAGATTACCTTCAGGCAGCTGAAATCATGGAGATCCCAGATCTTCACCGTGCCGTCGGCCGAGGAGGTGCCTAAAACCTGGTCCACCGGCGAGAACTGCACGCACCAGATGCCTCGCTTGTGCCCCGAGAAGACCCCCAGCAGGGAACAATCCGAGCAGGCCCACAGCTTGGCGGTCTTGTCCTGCGACCCCGTCGCCACGAGTTTGTCGTTCGGAGAAACTGCAACGCTGTTGATATCCTAAACGAAGAGGATGAGGACGGTCGACTTCGTGAGCACCCCTGCAAACGGCAGGACAGGGAGGCCACAAAGCGATATATTCTAACAACCCTGGCGCCCTGCAAAGAGGCTGGAGCCCCCTCGCCTTCTCCTTACCATTCCCCCCTCATTCTGATGAGTCTACTCTAGAGCTGGGCCACCTGGGATCCTTTGGATCCTTTTGGACTACATCTGCCATGAAGATGAGCTGCAGAAATACATCATCTTCTTTTTTGGTCTCTGGAAAGCTGCTCTGCAACTCCACTTTCACCCACTGCAGGTGTGTTGCGGCCACTTTCCCAACGATAAGCTGGGGAAACCCTCAGGCCTCTTTCTCCCACCATTCTTCTTCTTGTGGAGTGAACAGGACCAGCTAGAAGGGCCGGGCCCATGTTCGTACCAACTCTGGTTTGCCTTCAACCAAGCTTCGCGACGTTAGCCCGCTGGCGTAGAGCGGTTGGGCTGCTTTCCTACTCTCACTAACACTCAGTCGGAAAATGCTTCTTTAAAACAGACCGATCGTTTAACGGCTCTGATCCCACCCACCCCAAAACCTACAAAAACTATAGAAATTTAAGTAAGAGTCCAGCTTCTTGCCCCCCTCCCCACCGGCAATTCTTTAAAAACAGTGATCAGCATCCTCCTACTTCAAATAGTTGCCCAAACTCAGCTGGGTGGACCTCCTCCTCTAACTCAGCTCAAACGACGTCCTGCAAAAGGCCACTGGCACTCACCTTGTCGTGCGCCTTCACGGTCAGAGTGGCCTGAAGGGTTTCGACGCTGGGTGTTTTTTCCTTGGGAGGGAGCGACTCGGGGAGTTCCCACACTTTGATCGTGTGGTCTTGGCTGGCCGTGACCACAAAGTTCTCCTTCATTCTGTAGAGGGAAGCCAGGCCAGAAAGAAGAGAGGACTCTCAAGAAAAACTTCCTAACCATTTTGAGCAGTACGACAACGGAACCCACGACCGCAGAGGGAGGTGTTGAGTGCTCCCACGCTGGAGGGCATGCAAGAAGAAATCGGACAACCCTCTGTCTGATCTGCTTGGATTGGGATCCCTGCCGATTTTGAGCAGTACGACAACAGAACCCACGACCGCAGAGGGAGGCGGCGAGCGCTCCCATGCTGGAGGGCATGCAAGAGAAATCGGACAACCCTCTGTCTGATCTGTTTGGATTGGGATCCCTGCCTTGAGCAGGGGGTGGGGCTGGATGGCCTTCGAGGCCCCCTTCCCATGCCAGGATTCTGGGATTATTCTACAATTCTACGACAAGAAGGTCAAACAAGAAAGAAACACGCTGATTGCCCCACTGTGCAGAAAACGAAAGGATTATTCAACAATAAGAAGGTCAAACAAGAGAAAGAAATATGCTGATTGCCCCACTGTGCAGAAAACGAAACTCTTCTTGAACCTCTCGTTACTGTAAAATATACCAGTAACAAACTGCTCAGGTGTAACAGGCATGTAATCAGCATACATTGATTTAACCATGACATTTCTATCCTGCCTTCTCTCCAACGGAGCACCAGGTGACCTACAAGGGGGTCCCACCTCCTCCTCACTTCCATCCTCATAACAGCCCTGTGAGGTAGGTCATCGGGGCTGCAAAAGGAGGACAGGACCAAGGGAAGCCTGGGAATTCCATGGGTCAGAGAGGTCGGGCCCAACACTCTCACCATGATGAAACATGGACCCTCAAATCGGGGCTGGTGAAAAACCAGGAGCGTTATTCTTTTCGGTGGGATTCCCAAATCTGCCAAGAAAGGGAGGGGGGGACCCACTTCAAAGTAGGGTGGAAAGACCGTCTACTGAAGGTCTTCTCAACTGGGCTTCCCAAAGATCGCCAGAGCTCTACATTTGCAAAAAAATGCGTAGCCAAGGTTATAACCCGTATGTGAGGGTCGGGGAGCAAACAATCCTGCAGTTCCAGCTAGACCAAGGAACAGAAAAGAGGCAAGGGAAAAGCGCGAAGAGCATCCGGCCTCCACACCAGGGACCTCGGAACCCCTGGGGTGCGCCGGGCTGCCCGCAACCCATCCTGCAGGGCAACGCCTGGAGGAGACGTTCTGAAGACGGATCTCTTACCTGGAACAAGACAGCGCGCCCACGCCGTGCGCATGGCCCACCCCTTGGGCGATGCAGTTAACCTCGCCTTCGTCGTTCATCAGCCAGATGCGGAAGGTTTTATCCTGGAAACAGAAGTTGGCTTCAGGGTTTGAATATATATGAAATAAAATTAAGCTCTGGTGCCCCAAGGTGAGCACGCCATGAAATACAGCAGGGGCATCATCCAAATGTGCAAACCTAACCATTCAGCATCCGCCGAGGCCCACAAGACACCCAGGCCTAAGAGAACCTCAGCAGGCACTGGTCCCTCGGCTCTTTTCGGAGCTGGCTTCCTCTTGCCCTTGCATCACCAAACTCTGCTTTTTGCCTGTCTCTCTCTCTCTCTCTCTCTCCCCCCCCAAATCTCCGGCAAGCCAGGTGGCCACTTCTTCCCTCCCCCTGCTTTAAGACGGAAACCCTTTTTTCCAAAGAGACCCCGAACACTTCTACCCGCTGTCTGTCCCCTCCTCACTCCAGCGAGCGATGTCATGCGCTTGTTTCTCCTTCTCTGGTGGCCAAAGAGGGCCATTCTGAGGCCGAAAGCACACACACACACAGAGAGAGATCCCCCGACTCTTCTTTTCCGGCCCATGCCTCAGCCCTGCGTTCCACTCATGGACTAAGTCTGTGAATCACCCACAAGCCAAAACAAGCTCAACTGTGAGATACCTTTGCGCAGCTGGCGAACAGCCTCCCTTTCCGGAAGACGTCCAAGCCGAGAACCGTGTCTGCAAGAAACACAGGAAGGAGAATGAGGTGTTGCCAAATTGAAGGCACAGATCTCCTAAGACAGGAGAAGCACCTATGGCCAGGTCGCTATGTACTATGCCTGGAGATCTGTATCTGCCGGAAATAACTCAAACTCTCCCCCCCACCCCGTAGATGCTGAAAAACATGTATTATACCAAACAGCATGATCCGCGGCTCCCTCTAATACCCTGCTCTGCTAAGGACATGGTAAAAGTAAAAATTTCTAGGAATTTTTCTTTTAATATTTTTAATACGTCCAGACTGCGGATAGGTGAATCAGTGGATGCTGACTCAGCAGATATGGGGAGGGGCAGGGGTCCCAGTGGATAATGCAACACCTACATACATGTGCACAAATGCGCAGGTATAAACATTGACTCCTACAATTGCACGTTCTCTCTGGATGCCTCTCCTGAGCTTGTTTCACTGCCTATCCTACCAAATCTCCTTACAGACCAAATTATAGCTGAACTAAAGTGACTGTGGTTTTCTACACAGCCCCCGGATGGTCAAGAGGGTGTCTGCTGCCCGGGCTAGGCCAATAAACTGCAAAAGGGGTTAAGTGATAGTATTTCAACCCCCGCCTTGGTAACAGGCTGAACCAACCCTATCCCTGTCTTGTAAAGCCAGCTGGCGGGCGCTTGCGCCAGGCTTCCCTGGGAGGAGGGTGTCAAGAAAGCCTTCCCTGCTGCTCCGGCTACCTCACCCGCAGACCCCACCTCACCACAGGGGGGCGCCTGGGGGCCCTAAGCAGCCGCCACTGCGGCTTCCTCTGCCACCCACCTGTATGCCCACACAGGACCTGGCAGTGGGAGGAAGAGAGCTCAAACACTTTCAGCTGGGGGCTGTTGGTGGCCACCACCAGGTGGGAGTCCTTGGGACCCAGGAACCGGACGTCCAAGACCTCTCCGTTGTAACCCGAAAACTGAAAGAAACGCAAGAGCCACGTCGGTGGGGGGGAAGGAAGGTGCCCGCTGGAAAAGGCTCACTTCAACAGGTGCGATGCTTTGTAGGCGAACGCACGCACGGAGGTCGAGAGAACAGGGAGGTGCGCCATCCCCAGGCAGAAGCTCCAGGATCTGGGGCTGCAGTAGAGCTGGGCACAGCTACAGCAGACCGGCACCGCCACTGCTCAAGAGTGACGGCATGGCAGGTCCTTCCTCCTTCTCCTCCCTCTGCTTGACCTCCCAGCCTGCCAGAATACCTGCTTCTTGAGGTCCAGCGTCTGGGCATCATAGAGGCAGATGCTGTGCTCGGCGTTCACGGCGAGGACCTCACTCTTCACAGGCACCAGCGCACAATGGACCAGGCTGCGTTCTCCAGCCGCCTCTTCTTCGGTGGCCGCGGGAAGGCTGGGCAGGGATTGGGTGTGCACGCAGGTGGCTGAGGACGCATCCCACACCCGGAGGATACCTAACAGAAGGGGGCCCCACAGATCACCCACCGGCCACAGAAGCAGAGAGCTAGACAAGATGGGAAAGGTCTGCCTCTTTATGCCCAAAACCGTGACCCGCTTGCTCTTCCCAAGGGGGTTGAGGTCTGCCCAGGGGCCGGGTGAAAAAAGAGGATGGCAACGAGAAAGCAAATTGTGTCCTCCAAGGCTTTCATGGCTGGGATCTGATGTTTGCTCTCGGTTTTTCAGGCTGTTTGGCCCTGTTTTGGAGGCTTCCCCCCCCCCTAACGTTTCACCCGTCTTTGTGGCCAGCTAGAACCAGGAACACAAGACAGAATTCTAGCTCCTGTCCTCTGAAGATGCTTGTCAGGGTATTCTGGCTGTTGCTGTCTGAACGACGGAAGGTAATCTCAGATTTTCCCAATTTCATGGATCCTGCTCTCTGGCCTGGCCGCTTATTCTTTCCAATCTGTTTTTCAGCAGGACCAGGGCTCCAAAAAAGATCTGCTTTTGGTCATAGCAAAGCAGAAACTGGGCAAGACTTTGCTCTCTGCGCAGGTTTGGACCTTCCGAGGCCACCTGGAAAGGGCGTTCGTGCAGGGGGGGTGGTGCTTCACTCACCTTTGCTGCCCGCGGTGATAAAGTGGATGCCCGATTTCTTTACGCCCACAGGCGAGAAATCCCCTTCCTCGGGTAACAGGGCCACGGCTTCGACGCTCTGGGAGGAAAAGAGAAGGCAGAGAAAGGAAATGGGGGACCAGCGGATGGGGGAACGCAGGCACCATTCAGAGAAATTCACATCTTGCCCTCGAATCTGGCTTTGGACAAACTGAGCAAACGGGATGCACAAACGGACGAGAGGGTCCCTGCGGCTCTGGCTCGTTTTGAAGATTTAGGTCCTCCTCAAGAGAGCTTGGCCAGAAAAAAGTTTGTGCCTTTTTTATCCACACACAGGCCACAGCCAATCAGAGATATCGCATCTTCGGCTGGCCAATTTGGAGAAGTCTGCTTTTCTAGTCCCGAGAGAGACTCTGCATCTCAAAGAACGGAACAGCTCTCCTCCGGGAAGACAGGGAAGGGGCTGCCAGCATCCACTGGCTCCCCGTGTCCTCCGTGGGTACCAAGGAACAACAATGGAGTATTCTCCTCCCCAGAAGATCTCACTCAGTCAGGATAAACCTGGTCAGAATCCGAAGGACGGTGGTCAACAGCAATCACTTCCGAAAACAGCTTTACCTCGTAAACGGGGATGGTGCCTTTCGCTTCTTTCTTCTCGAGGTCCCACACGGTGCAGATCTTATCCCGGCCGGAGCTGGAAATCAAACTCGGGGTAACTTTCTTTGATTCAAATCTTGGTACAGTTTTAAATGCCGCCAAAACCAGCCCCGCTCCCAAGACTAGTGAAACCTGCCCCGATTGGAAAATCCGGGGAAGAGAAACCACGAGGAGGGCCTTTTCGTTTCTCACCTGATCAGTGTCTTGTTATCCGGGGAGAAGGCCAGAGAGGTGACGGAGCTGTAATGGTTTTCCAGGAGAGCTACGCACTGGCTGGACGTGAGGTCCCAAACTCGGATGATGTTGTCCATGGAGGAGGAGAAAAGCTGCAGCTGAGAGATGTCCGGATGGAACTCCACGAGGCTGGACGGAAAAAAAGAGAGGGGCAGGAGGAATGGATCGCTCTCCAAGGCTGGCGCACATGATTTACAGGCATGGTGGGACTTTTAAAAATGAGCACAGGATCGGTTGCTCTCCTGCAGAACGTTTAAGCAGGCCTGGCTGAACCTCCAACAAGGGCAAAGAATCGGATGAAACAATGGGTTCCTTACTGGACAACTCCCGAGGAGCCCTTCAAGTTGTGTGTGCAATACTGCTTGGGGATGTCCCAGACCTTGATCGTGCTGTCACAGCCGCCTGGAAGAAGGAAGGAGCAAAAAAGATGATTGAACTCACTGAGCGCCAACTGGAAAACGGGAAAAACAAGCATACAGAACAGTTAAAAGAAGATTGAACTCACTGAGTGCCAATCGGCAAACGGGAAAAACAAGCATACAGAACAGTTCTAACGGCAGATGCACGACCACCTCTTTCCTCTTTGGTCCCGCAGAGGGAAGGCATCCATACAGGAAAAGAATAAAGCCTGTTTTGATCCCAGCTGTGCTGATATTCTCCCCATTCGGCGAGCCGCAGGGGACCCGGAGCCCTACCTGTGGCTAACAACGTGGACGTTGAGTCGAACGCCATGCTGGCCACGGGGGCCGTGTGCACCGCCTTCCACGTCCGGCTGCACTTGTTTGCCAACCAATCCCACTGCTTCAGCAGCAGCGAATGACTGGCTGTCACAAGGATCTGGCACAAAATGAAGAGAAAGGTTGACAGAAAGTGAGTGAATACTTTCTGCTTTCCATGAATTTCAACCCGTTCCGGTCGGAAGAAAGGACACCGCTCATGCTCAACCGCTGGCAGCTACGGTGAATTTATTATTTGTTTGTTTTATTTACAGGCTGCCTTTCTCCTGATAAGGGGACCCAAGGTGGCTCACAACATTAAAAGAGATTTAAAAGCGTAATTAATTAAGCATTAGCAAACAATTACACTATATGCTAATTAAAATACAACAGAGTAGCTAGAAGCAACTAAACATTAAAAACTATCTTAAGTTTTAAAATGGGACTCAGGTATGACTGTTAAAAGCCTGCTGGAAAAGGTGGGTCTTCAGCTGTCGATGGAAGGATAGAAGGGAGGGGGCCATCCTGATCTCTCGAGGGAGAGCATCCCATAATCTGGGAGCAGCCACAGAAAAAACCATTGACATCACTGGCAATGGGACTGATTCTATCCATCATCTTTATCTGCCACCCTCTTTGTGCTCACAGATCCCAACACTTACAATGTTATTTATTTAACTGATTTATTAAAGTATTTTTTTAACCCCACCTTTCTCCTTAAAAAAGGACCTAAGACGGCTTGCAACAAAAGAAGACAACATTTAAAGTTGAAAATAATGAGTATGCAACGCTGGTTGACATCCTTAAAAGACAATACAGTATTTAAGACTACAGACAATGAATAACGAGGCATGCTACAGTGGCTTACTTCATCGTCGTGGCTGAGAGCAAATGTTGTAAGGTCCGCTTCATCGTCCTATTAAAAAAGGAAAACAGAATATATCATATGTGAAGCCTGAACCCCTTCCAGGCAAAGTCACTGCCAAACAGGGTGGGAGCAACACCAATAGAATTGCACGTCAGTGACTCTGCTGCCAACAGTGCTCATTTAGTTGCTTCCCTCGTTAATAGAGGACACACACGGTTTTAATGCTGTAATAAAAACGTGGGAGTCCCCTCCCTGTGAAGGGCTGGGGGAGTCTTAATACCTGCCCGATATGGCGAACGACATCTCCCGTTGCCATGTCGACAATGTTGACCTTGTTGCCGCAACCACAAAACATGTAGTCCCCATCTTGGTTCATCTGGGAACGAAGCACAACTTTTACTACAGGCATCCCAGCAGTGTAGAATTCTTGTAAACCATGCTCAAAGAGAACTCAAAAGCCAGAGGGGACCCAGTGGATCATGGGGTCCGGCCCCTGCCAGGGAAGCCCAGTGGGGGAATCAAACTCCCAACCTCTGGCTCTCCTCTCTGAACCACTGAACTCTCCCACCCAGCTAAATTACTGAACCCTAATCTGGACGTTCCACATCATCGTCCAGGAACCCTCTGGATCATCGGGTCCGGTCCCTTTCAAGGAGGCGCCTTGCGGGAATCGAACTCCCAACGTCTGGTTCCGCAACCAGAGAACTCAACCCGGGAGCAATCCGGTCGTTCCTCTGAGACTTTCGTGTTACCTGAATCCGTCCTCCTTTGTAGAAAGGCTCTATCCTCCTGAACACAGCATAGCTGGGGGGAGGGGGGGAGAAAGAAAACAGTAACAGGGGGTGTCAAGAGAATGGGTTGCTTCCACTCCGCCAAACTAAATGTGATGAGCCTCCTTTTGCCCCCGCACTGTCGACGCTTCCTCCTCCCTGCTGATACGGTGGGGGTACCCGATGACTGGGGTGCGGAGGGGAGGCTGGCAGGGATCCGTCCCCTGGGTGGGAGATCTTGGGAGCCCCTCTCTCTCTCTCTCTCTCTGAGCGAGTCAGGGAAGCTCGAACTGCCAGTGAATAGGAAAGGGGTGGACTCTCTGAGGAACTTGAAACTATTCCCCCTCTCTGGCTCTCTGCGCTTCTGCTGTCCAGCCCCAAGAGAATTTCAGGAAATATTCAAAGTGTGTGTGTGGGGGGGTCGTCCAAATCTGCCCCCCCCAAAAGCCGGAGGGGGAAGAGGAGGGAACGGCGACCTCCCCCCCTCTCCCGCCTGCCTCGAAAGGCTGATCCCTTTCCCAAGAGAAAGGCACCGAACCCACAGGCGGGCAGAAAGCACTCTGCACGTACTCAGAGGCACTCTCATCCCCACCCCCCCGACTATGGCGTCATACTCCGGGGGGGCCCAGGGTCTCTGGGCGAAGGGAGGGCGCCCACCTGTCCCCCCCACCCCCATAAGGGGCGGCGTTGCTGCCATGGCAACAACCCTCCCCCCATAGCAACGTTACCCCGGAAATAAGGGGCGGGGCGAG